TTTTTTTTTTTTTTTTTTTTTTTTTTTTTTTTGAATTGAAATTTTTATTCAACCCGAAAACGGGAAATCAGATCCAGTTACAAGCTCGATTAGAACAAAAGAACCCAAGTCAAGAAATTGCAACCTAGCTTCGCCCACCCACTAAACCCGGCACATTCCGCTAGTTTACTTTTAAAATTCTTAGGAATCGGTAGCCGTTCTCAACCATCGACAATGATCACGGAAAAGTGAGGTTCTCCTCGTTTCCTTGGATGCCGGGAGTTTCCATGTCGCCTCCGGAGTAGCTAGATACCGATGAACATCTCGAAACTTATAACCGTCACCGTCCATGAAGTGCTAGACAAACTAAAAGAGGGAGGTTACTCTTACCAAAGTCCGAGGAACCGAACTGTGCACCCTCTAAAGCTGCCTGGAAACATAACCGGACCTGCAAAAAGATGGGCCAGAGAAGGCTGCTGTGCTAAACCGGATTATGTTCCAACGACCTGCATAAAAGGTTAGAGAGACACACTGCCGTGAGCTACCAAGTGGAACACACGACACTGGGAAATGCGAACTCTCCGTATGGTGTCCCCGAGCTAAGCACTAAGCTCATGACCACTTGAACCCACCGCAAAGCTCGCCATACGCCAATTCCGAGAACCGGAAATTGAGTAACCAAAAGCTGCCAAACTCTGCATCCGGAGACAACAGACGCACACAAACTATACCAAGAACATAGACGCTTCGGAACCCGTCGACAAGCTCCAAAAACGAAGACCGGAGGAGCACCAGGAAGAGGAGAAACCAGAAGAGAGAGAGTCCACCAAACCTGCATCGGAGATGCCATAGACGACAGCCACGAGCCACAGCTCCAGTCGACTCCCCGCACCACCACCACAAGACCCAACACACGCCGGCATCTAGGGCTAAGTGCGTCCTCGAGCGAATGAACAGCTCCGAGACTCTCCGGATGACGACAACACGGACGCGAACCGCCAAGACACCAAGACGAATCCACAAACCAGCAGAACGTCACCACTCTGCACCAAGACTAGAGAAAGAAGATCCGAGATCCTCACGACTAGATCTGAGCCAAGAGCCACGACCCGCCTCCACACGCCTCCTTCTCTTCAAGAGGGACCAAAAAGAAAAAATACCCTCTTACTAACCCGAAACGCCGACTCCACCAAAGACAGCCACTACACCTCAGTACCGCGCCTCCAAAACTAGCAGAACCAGACCCGGCGTCTAACCTCCCCGCGAGCAAAGCCATGACCGGAGGAATCTCCAGAGACAGAGAACACGAGCAAGACAGAGGCAAGTGAGAAGTGATGGTGAAGCAAAGATCAAACCAGAGGAGAGGAGAGAAGGATTAAGCCTCCGGTGCCGGCACGGACGCTCACGCGCCGTCCGTACACCGGAGCAAAACGAGAGTCAGATGCACGCGAAGAGAGAAGAGAGGAAGAGAGAGAGATGTTATTTTTTCCCTAGTTTTTAAGTTGGGAACCAGTCTCTTTGTCGTTTTGATAGTATAATGTATGATTTTTTTGAATTTCCGGTTTGAATGAACATTTTCCAAGTCTAGACCCAGAATCTTTTATATACCTGTAGGCTGTAGGTAATCATTATTATTGTTATATAGTTTTGTTTCTTAATCACTTGTATTTGTCAACAGATAATTACTCACTAATCACTATTTAAGTTTTGCCTCTCCGTTCGCAGCATATACTGTATAATCAGTAACCAAGTATTTTTATTTTCTTATTGTTTCCGTCAAGTGTCATTTTATTTTCTAAACTCTACTTTCTTCTTATTGTGAACCGTTAGATATACTTGCTTAATTGGGCCATAACTTAGCTCATTCATATTTTCGGCAAGCCCACTCATTTACCAATAAAACTTTGCAATAAATATTTATATTACTAAAAGATAGTATATGATAAGATTTTACTATAAGGCGTGCTTGAACGCCCGAAAATTAAGAATGGGGTTAGGATTGAGGTGACTATGATAGTATTTGGTCGGTCGAGGAAAACTTTTTCAAAGCTTTGAACATAACTAAAAAGCTATAAAGCATCCATTTTATCGTCAAGTGCACTTAAGACACAGAGGGCCCAGCTTATCTGCTTTTTTCTTACCGTTACATTTACATTACCTAATGAATATTTTTGCCAAAAACTAAACCTTTTATACAAAGAAAAATAAAAATTCAAAGACCATGCTCACCTAGGCAGGGGTGGACACAGACCGGATATACAAGTTTTCGAAGATATTTGTGATTTGTTTGTATGCTACGAATATCTAATTTTGATATTTGCTTTGTTTCAAAAAATACGGATATCCGGAAAATAAATAGATATTTGCGGATATTACGAATACTTACAAATATATCATCCGTTACAAATAACCTTAAAATTTTGATATAGATTTAATTTGTAAAATATTTTTTGCATGATATATAAAATAATAAATAAAGAAATAGTGAATTTACTTATTTTATAATTTTTAAGTTTAAGTTAACAATTATAATAACAAAAAACTTAAGATTTTTTAATAATTTTCATAATTTTTCTTTTCTTTTTATCTAATACTTTTATATAAGTAATAATGTGAATATAATTAGTCAAATCATAAGCTATAATAATAATTTTATACATTTAAAATCTTAAATATAATCAAAATATACATGTATTTATATATTTCCGGATCGGATCGGATATCCGCTTCCCAAAATTTTAATATTTATTATTTACTTTGTTTTTAACGGATAATGATTTTTAATACTTGCTTTGATTCGAAATTTTACGGATATCCGGAATTTTCGGATCGAATTGAGACGAATAACGAATAAAATATCCAATCCTATCAATGGGGTATTTCAAAATGGAGTTTCCTTTTTTTCTGTTACAACATGGAGTTTTCAATAAATAAATTTCTATTATTACAATTAATTAATCTATGTTATACTATACTAGAGATGTTTTAATGAGTTGATTAGAACATGATCAACGCGGATGTTTAATGCAAGTGCTTAGTGTAGGTCTCACAAAAAAAAACAAAAACAGTTGTTTAAAGTGCCCAAATAAGCACTGGTTTAAATGAGTTATTTGTATTGTTTATTGATATGTGGCAGATTGGTTTAGATTTTTTTTCAGCCAAACAAAAAATAAAATAAAATAAGCACACCAAATAAGTTTCATCCGTTAAAGATGGTCTTAGGAGTTGTTTTGATCTCTGCCCTCTGGGTTTCAGAAAAATGTTTGTGAACACAGTCTACACTACTCACGTGTATATATATCTAACCAAAAAAATACATACACACATAATCTTAACCGTCACTTACCACGTGTCGAAATCAAACAGCATGCTCATGTATATTTTGATGCAAGTCACATTTCATCACCACCTCTTCCTCACCGCTATTGCATCAACACAACAACAAACACATATTCTCACAACATCATAGAGCAACTTTTACTCTTTATTTTTTCATAAACACCATGAGAACGAGCAACAATCTTATAGGTCTCGTGAACTTCATCACCTTCCTCCTCTCAATCCCCATCCTCGGCGGTGGAATATGGCTAAGCAACCGAGCTAACACCACTGACTGCATGAGATTCCTCCAGTGGCCACTCATCGTCATAGGAATCTCAATCATGGTAGTCTCCTTGGCAGGTTTCGCCGGAGCTTGTTACCGTAACAAGTTCCTCATGTGGCTTTACCTCTTCGCCATGTTCTTTGTTATAGCTGCTCTCATAGGTTTCATTATATTCGCTTACGCGGTCACTGATAAAGGCTCAGGCCGGTTTGTGATGAACCGGAGGTATCTTGATTATTATCTTGGTGATTATTCCGGTTGGTTAAAGGATCGGGTCACGGATGATGGATACTGGGGACAAATAAGGTCGTGTGTTAGAGATTCTGGAGTTTGTAAGAAGATGGGAAAACGTTTACATGGTGTTCCTGAAACTCCACTCATGTTTAACTTCAGAAGGCTTAGTCCTATTGAGGTAACAAAATATTTTGAAATTTTGGGTATAACGTCTTTCTAAAATATATGAATTTTTAAACTCTTAACTTGTTTCTTTATCATTTTATTGTTTCTTTGTTAATTTATTCTAAAACGTGAAACATAAAAACACTTCTTCAATGGCCTAACTGAAAGTCTGAAACATAGTTTGTGTAACCAAAAACATAAAAGTTTATTAATTATTTTCAACTTAAATAAAGTTATTTTAGCATGTTAAGACCATGTTTATTGCAGGTCCCTTAAGTTGGGTACCTTAGCGTACGGTCCCTTAGCTTTTAACTGAAAACGCTAAGGGACGTCCCTTAAATCCCTTATATAAGGGACGTCCCTTAGCGTTTTCAGTTAAAAGCTAAGGGACTATACGCTAAGGGACCCAGTTTAAGGGACCTGCAATAATCATGCTCTAAGAGGTCATGAGTAGTTTTGTCAGGCTCCCAAATTATGTATCCTGGCTTTTGTACTTTTGTTCGTAAACTTTATTCGTCTCATATTCTGACCTATAATCATTACTATTTCGAAAGTTGTAATCGCCATGCAAAACCTAGTAGTGACCCAGTAGTATTATATGAAAATACAAAGATCCAATGGGTAGTTGTTGAAGTGTGTCTTCTGTACTAACAACGGGTCCATACTACTCTAGTTTTGGTTAGATATTTTACCCATGCAAGGCCTTTTCTCAGTGGTTGGTGTGTGATCTATATTTGTCTCAAATTTGCAGTCAGGATGTTGCAAACCGCCAACAGAATGTGGATACACTTATGTGAACGAGACAGTGTGGATTCCAGGAGGAGATATGATTGGACCGAACCCAGACTGTATGTTGTGGAACAATGACCAAAGACTACTGTGTTACCATTGTAGCTCTTGCAAAGCTGGTGTTCTTGGTAGCTTAAAACAGAGTTGGAGGAAAGTATCAGTGATCAACATTGTGGTTTTGATCATACTTGTTATCTTCTATGTGATCGCATATGCAGCTTACCGTAATGTTAAGAGGATGGATAATGACGAACCGGCAGGTGAGGCTAGGATGACAAAATCTCATCCTGGTCATTTTGATATTTGATGACTAGTAAAAACCACAATCAATCACTGGTACTAAATGCAACTCACAAAACCATTACATTATCATGGGTTATGTTGTTGTAATTATGTAACTTTTAAGCTTTTTTAAAAGCTATGTGTTTCTGTTTATGGATATGTATGAATATGTTGATGATTATGAACACTATCTTTGTTGTTTTGTAGATCATGTGAGTTGTAACTACTGCTGCTAATGAGATTTATCATTTTATAAGTGTAACAATGACTTGTTTTCATATGTATGAACCAAGTCAAAAAATAAAATAACACGAGATACCTAAAATGAAAAGGGTATGAGATTTGTAACCGTAGAAAACATATGTTATGAATCTCACTATCTCAACTAAAGCTGAAAACAAAAATTTGCTTAGAGATTGATCTGAAAAAAACAAAACCAGTACTCAACTAACCGGGACCGTTTCGTCATGGGGTTTTCAAATTACTCACATTGGCAACTTTTGGTTTTGGATTTGAGGTTTCATCTTCACGGCTGAGTTCAGGGCTCCATCTACTTATCGTTTGCTCTTCCACTCTGTAGTTCTCCAAACACATAGGCAAATTCAAATCCTCTCTGTCAGAGTTACCACTGACATGGAGAGTTAACAACGTTTTAGCAACACTTCCGCTTAACCGAACAGCACAGTGGATATCCGACCAAACTCTTAACCGGTCACCGTCCCCAGACTGAACCAAAACAGAGTATTCAGAGTGGACAAGAGATGGATGGTGACGGTACGCCACGAAATCCACACCGTACTGCAGACCTGATCTCAAAACCCAGTTCTTGGACCGTAGATGTGAAAAAGCTTTGAAGAAAACCGGGAAGTTCGGTCTTTTTGATCTCATGTACATCCATGTCTCTACTTCGTTCTCCAAGAAACGGCCTTGAAGGGAGAGTTTGATGCATTTGAGGTTGTGGAGCAAATAGAAAGCTTCTTCAAAGGATAACTGAATCCATTTCTTGAGTTTTTCAGAGGATAGGACGAGTCTGCCGAAACAGCAGCGATCGAGTAGCTCTGCTTGCTCTGGCTCAACGGCTAGGAGCACGTTGCAACTCGAGAGGGAACCTGATGACTCTGTTTTGGCTAGGGAGAGCTGGAGCTCTGAGATTGATTTTGAAATAGGTTCTGCAAGGGCTTTTGCTTCTGCACCTTTCCATTTCCATCTTGGCGCCATCGAATTAATCTGCATATAGCATTAAAAGATCAAACCTTTTTGAACATAAAAGTGAAAGATAATGTACATGCTTCTGCTTAGTTTTATTATTAACTGAAAAAACGAAGTTTTTCTGCGTTTATCATGAAGTAATTTATTGAGTTTTGCTTCCAATTTGTGACTAGTTCAAGGACAGATGTGAGTCAGATCAAGAAGAATCGGGACTAAATCACTACCAAAAGGTTAAGAGGTATCTATACTAGCAGCGAGACATACATACATACACACCAATTGCATACCCTAGAGCTGATAAACCAAACACAAGTTCTCAAGAAAATACAACCGTACTTCCAATATATAAATGTTTTCAGAGTTGTAGACAAAATAAATTCTTCTCTCACGCATTTTGTCGAACAGTTTCAGCGCACTAATTTTTTCTTCTTAGAAGATCCACAGAAACCATGACTTACCAAACCCCAAAAACATGAGTTACCTGAACGGTCGTGTCTGATGTCTGTTTAAGTTCTATATCAATCCGCCGCGATATCGTTCGAAGAGGCCGAGGAATTGACCTAAGATCGACGCCGGAAAAAGACCGAACTTACTTGTCCTAAGAAACCAACACGAATTACTGTTACACCCTTTTGACTAATAGTCAACCAATAACGTCTCACGTGTAAATAAATATCTTTACACCCACACGTGAGTAACTAACTTGCGCTCCCTTGTAATACTTTGAATAAGGCAACAATGTAGCCTACATTTAGAAACATACTATATAGTTTATTTAGCTAAAACAGTCCACTACCACACGTGCGTGACTAACTTGCGCCCTCTTGTAGTATAAACATTTTGAAAACGCCTATGTAAGAGCGAAGCAAACACTCTTCTGTAACACGAGAGAAAATAACCTAGGCAAAAGTTATGGAACGTCCCGCCTCGAATTCCCAAAACCCTCGCCGTTTGCAGACGGAAGAGCCACTCTCTTCCCGATCTCCTACTCCTCAGCAGCAACCGAGTTCACAGACTTCTGGTCTCGCAACCGCCGTGGAAAACGGTCGGAACAGTTCGGCACCTAGAGGGGTTTCTAAGAATGCGCGTCGCAGAAACTCCAAAGGAAAAGGTAAAACCCAAGAAGCAGTCTCCGGTGCACGAAACCCTAACGGTAAAGTCGGTAACTTTCGAAATGAGTACGTGTATGTTCCTAAAAAACCTTCTCCGCCGGTTGTTAAATCAGTCGGTGAGGGTAGTTCGAAGGTTAATGCTGCCGTTGCGGGAAAGTTTAGTGGAGATGTGTTGTATAGGCTTTACTTTAAGGGTTTGGTGAGTGAAGAGAGTGTGACTGGGAAAGGGAAAGGGAAGATGGCTGACGTGGCGGTGGCTGGATTTGGTGTTGCGGTTTGTGACCAGAGGGATGGTTTGTTGTTTGAGTTAAAGGGGGAACTGATTGGTCGTGATACGAACCGGCAGGGAGCGGAGCTTAAGGCGTTGACACGTGGGTTAACCGAAGCCTCGAAGCTTGGGATTAAAAATGTTGTTGTGTTCTGTGAATCTTATCCCATTTTCCAGTTTGTAAGTAGTTTTTGACTTTTCCTGTTCGTCATTGTTACGCTTCACTTTTACTTTCTCTCTGTGTTGTTGAATCCTTCTAGAAAGGTATGTTCTTGATATATAAAGAACCTTCACTAGCTATTAGACTTTAGACTGTGATTGTAGTTCACTCTGCTGTTGTTGACTCCTTATAGAAATGTATGTTCTTTTTGTTGCCCTTTGCCGAGTCCAAGTTTCCTCTGTTCTGTAATTAAAAAACAAGATGTAGCTAAATGTGATTGTTTTTCTATTGGGGTTTTCATTTGGTAACTGTTATGATTAGATAAATAGAATAGTAACAACTTGCATTATTATAATTTGAAGAAAGAGTTGCAATGACTACTCTTTCACTATATATCATGATATTTTTTTTTTTAAAATCATAGTTATTTCTCTTTGCTTTGGCCTTTGAAATAAGAACCTTATCTAGCTATTAGAGTGTGTATTGTGAGTTTCTAAAGTCATATGCTTGTGTGTTTGTGCAGTGGTTCTAGAATTCCAATGAGTTATGAACTTATGATTCTTTATCTAGCTTTTCTTGTCCTATATTCATTAAAAATGTGTTTTTATTTCAATGCAGGTTAAGGGGAATTGGGTGCCTAAGCAAAAAAAGATCTCCATGCTGATGGATGATCTGCAACAGATCAGGCAACAATTCACGTTTTGCCAGGCTGTTCTGGTAGCTGGAAACGAAGTCAAATTTGCGTATAAACTCGCCAGGGAATCAATACTTTCTCAAGCCAACCCTCGTGGAGTTGCTCGCCAAGCAAAAGTAGCTTGGAAACAAGAGTGTCTCATCTGTTCCAACGAAATCGATCTCGAGCGCATGTTTTCCCTTGGTAAATGCCGTCACCGCTTTTGCTTTCACTGCGTGAAGCAACACGTGGAGGTGAAGCTGCTTCACGGAATGGTTCCAAACTGTCCTCACGATGGATGCAACTCTGAGATGATTATGGATGCATGCCGCAAGGTTTTGACTCCAAAACTGAATGAAATTTGGAAACAAAGGGTTAAAGATTATGCGATACCTGTCGCAGAGAGAGTTTACTGCCCTTACCCGAGGTGTTTGGCTTTGATGTCTAAAGCCAAGATAACTGAATCTGCCAAGAGCTTGCTGTCTATCTACCCTAAATCTGGAGTTAGGAGATGTGTTGAATGTCGTGGACTCTTCTGTGTGGACTGTGATGTCCCGTGGCATGGGAAGGTGTCATGCACTGAATACAAGAACTTGCATCCTAATCCTCCAGGTGATGATGTGAAGGTAAGCTCTCATGCAAATAATAAAACGTGGCGTCAATGTGACAAGTGCCAGCACATCAATGAACTTACACACGGATGCAATCACATAACTTGCAGGTATGTCTATTTACAGCTTAATGCGTTATTTTTTTCTTATTTAACTATATTAAGTCGTATCCCGTTTGGTATTGTCGTTAGATGTGGGTATGAGTTTTGCTACAACTGTGGAGAAGAATGGAACAAGGAAACAGGGACTTGTGCTAAACACTGCCCTACCTTGGACGAAGAATATATCACACGTCAAGATCCAGCGCGTGTCTATGTGGGGCTTAGCAACTACTATGACGATGAAGATGAAGATTATGAAGATTATGATTCTGATGATGAAGATTTTGATTACGGCTTTGGTGACTTCCCCTTTGGTTTTAAGCAGAACATGAATGATGCTGATTCTGAAGACTCCTTTGATCCTTTCTCCGAACTGCCACATGGTAATTTACCCTTCAAAACCTCTTTAAAACCTCTCAGTAAATTCTATATACTGAAATCACTGTTGAAAAATTCGTCATGTAGGTGTGCCACGCTCCCACCAGATGCTGGCTTACAAGGCTCTTCACGACATGTTTAACCCGGGTGAGGAGTTTGCAAGTGAGGACTGCCCATACTTTGGTAAGTATGGAAAGTACGCTACATATTATGACTCGGACGGCTATGAATACGACGATTACACGAACCCTTTCCATCCTGACTACGACTAAGGTTCCTAGTCTGGAACCAAGCTTGTTGTTCTCTTTTCGGATTTTTCTTTTTCCAGGGCCAAACTCCTTTGCTACACTATATGCTTTTTCTGTCTTTGAATCTCTTTTGTTTGAAGCTCATGTTTCTGTGACTTGTTTCGTTTGAGTTTTGGTTGATTCAGAACTTGTAGCAACTTTGGATTTAAAACAGGCCTTTGTTTTTGCCCTCTCGTGATTGGTTCATTTTCTTTTCAAATGCTTGACCATTTTTCCATTGTTTGCTGAATTTTTTCACCTAAAAATGTTATGAACTGGATCATATAATCATATTTACATTCCTACTTCATATTTGGATTAGAAATAGCTAAGAAACCTTAGGAAAGAGGGTAGAAATTACCGTTAAAACGTGTGGATATGATGTTCTTGAACTTGATTGCTAATAGTGGAAAGAAATAGTCAATGAAGTTGACCTTGACTTACATATAACGTTTATTAAGCATTATTATATATTAAGAAATTTATCCACCTCAGATTACTCTGTATTATGCATTCTTACAGCAAAAATAACTTCTATAAACGTTATCAGTCAAACTTGCAAGTTGTAATGATTTGACTTTCAAGTTACTTCCAAAATCCGTATTCAATTTAAGAGAAATTTGTTTTTGCATCTTCACCGTCATCTTTTTATCTTTATCTTCTCTATTGATCAATCTTTTGACATTTTCCTCTTACATAAATACAAAAGACCCATCAGGTCACACTTCCTCTACACCGCTTATTTTCTTCTTGAAATTCATTTTTGCTATCTTGACTAGGACATGTGTTGGAAAGTCTTACTAATACACCATACAGATTCTTAAGCAGTCGTAAGTTTGACTTTTATGTCATATTCAATGGGTCTACACTCTTACAGCCAGAGAGTAAGAGATACTTATTGTTAACCACTGGAGCAGATAAATGCAATAATTAAAAAAAAAAATTGCAAAAGCAAAACGATAACTCTCTCAGTTTCGTTACCAAATGATGACTCGAGGATTGGTTCTTGGAGTCATATGGATGATGTTATATTGTGTTTGCTCATCATTTCAACAAGAACCACCGTTTCTCTTCAACGGCTTCAACCAAGGAGATCCTCGTCTTCATCTTCAAGATAGTGCAATAGTCATTCCAAGAAACCATGTCCTGCAACTGACAAATGCATCCAAGACTCAAATAGGCCGTGCTCTCTTCCAGCAGCCGATTGAATTCAAACCATCTGAACCAGTCTCGTTCTCTACACATTTCGTCTGTGCGCTGCTCCCTGCAGGTGATCCTAGTGGCCACGGGATAGCGTTCTTTGTATCTCATTCCACTGACTTCATAGGCGCGGAACCAACTCGTTACTTTGGTCTTTTCAACTCGAACGAATCTAGCTCCACGCGTGTGTTGGCTGTTGAGCTTGATATCTCTATAGCTCCGGATGTGAACGACATCAGTGATAATCATGTTGGGATTGATGTTAACAGCGCAAAGTCTAACGTATCAGCCAACGCTTCTTATTTCTCAGAAGGTAGAAACATAGATGTTAAACTACTTAGTGGAGATCCTATTCAGGTTTGGGTGGATTATGAAGGGACAACACTTAATGTTACATTGGCTCCACTTAAAACCAAGAAGCCAAGCAAACCTCTTGTCTCATCAAAATCCATCAATCTTACAGAGATTGTGAAAGGTAGAAGAATGTTTGTTGGGTTTTCTGGCTCAACAGGGTCAAGCATGAGCTACCAGTATATACTCGGATGGAGTTTTAGCAAAAGTGTTGCGTCTCTGCTTAGCATTGACATCTCAAAACTTCCCAAAGTTCCCCATCCCAAAAGTATAAAGAAGCCTCCATCCTTGGCCTTGGATGCTCTGCTTAGTTTAATAGCGTTCTTAGTTTTGGGGCTACTTATTGGAGGTTATATGTATAGGAGGAACATGTATGCTGAAGTAAGAGAGGATTGGGAAAATGAGTATGGTCCACTCAGGTATTCTTACAAATCTCTATACAAAGCAACAAAAGGGTTTAGTAAGAATGAGTTTCTTGGGAGAGGAGGTTTTGGTGAAGTCTACAAAGGAACACTCTCTAAAAGCAGAGAAGTGGCTGTGAAGAGAGTATCACATGAAGCTGAGGAAGGTATGAAACAGTTTGTAGCTGAGATTGTATGCATGAGGAGTTTAAAACACAGGAGCTTGGTTCCACTTCTTGGTTATTGCAGGAGGAAACGTGAGTTACTACTGGTCTCTGAGTACATGCCAAATGGTAGTCTTGACCATTACTTGTTTGATCATAGTCAAACGTCTCTTCCCTGGTGGAGAAGACTTGCGATTGTTAAAGACATTGCCTCAGCTCTTAGTTACTTACACACAGAAGCTGACCAAGTTGTTATACACAGAGATATCAAAGCTGCTAACGTTATGTTGGACGCAGAGTTCAATGGAAGGTTGGGAGATTTTGGTATGTCAAGGTTATATGACAGAGGGGCTGATCCAACCACAACAGCTGCGGTGGGGACTTTTGGTTACATGGCACCTGAGATTGTAACAATGGGACCTTCCACTGGAACTGATGTATATGCATTTGGTGTTTTCTTGCTTGAAGTAGCTTGTGGGAGGAGGCCAGTGGAATCTAGCTTGTCTGCTGAGAAACGTTTTTTAATTACATGGGTTTGTGATTGTTGGAGAAGATCTTCTTTGGTTGATGCTAAAGATCCAAGGATGTTAGAGTTCTCATCTCAGGAAGTGGAGAGGGTTTTGAAACTTGGTTTGCTATGTGCAAACTTTGTCCCAGAGGCAAGGCCGAGCATGGAACAAGTGGTTCAATATGTAAATGGAAACATAGCTTTGCCAGAGTTTTGGCCACATTCTCCAGGGATTGGAGTTCTTACTCCAATGGCGCTTTCACCAGGGAGACTAACGATCCCTTCACTATCACTGTCATCTTCCTCCAATAACTCTATGTTTGTTACTCATTCAGTTTTCTATGGGAGTGGACGTTGAAATTTTCTAATAAACTTCATTCTTCTTTGGTCTCTTAGTATTTTAACTGGTTTTCAACCATTCACTCTCAATTCTGTTTCATCAATGCATATGCTTACACCATGTGACATTCTCCATCAAGCTTGGCTGGTAAAAGGACAAAAAACCGTGGTGTTTGTGTGGAAAAATTTGCGATTACTTTGCTAAATACTTGTAAAGAAAGTTGATCTTCTTTCTTATTCTGTTTCACCTGTCAAGTCAACAAGAAACTGGTTTTTTATATTCGATGATATTCACCAGGGAGAAACTTCATGTTTGCTCAAATCCTTCTTGCAGCTGACAAACACTTCAGAGCAGAATGCTATCTTCAGACACCCCGTTGAGTTCAATACATAGCAATATCTCTCTCTTTCCGAACGCAATTTGTGTGTACATGCCTAATGTTAAGTCTTGACTAGCTAGTTCTTGTTTCATAACCAAGAACCATCATCTCTTCCTTGATCCCAAAAGGTTTGAGATTCTGAAAGGCATTAGCTTCAGATCCTTGTTCGTTGCACACAGGTTGTTCTATACACAAAGATATATCAAAGCTTCTAACCTAATGTCTCTCAAATACCTAACAAGTTGTACATCCAACGTGAAGTTTGCAGAGGATGTTATGAAGAAATAAAAATACTTTTAGCAACGTATAAGTTAATTACAGAATTAGTCCCCATTAAATATTCGAGTTTACAGTATTGAACCTTTTTGGTTTTGATCATGAAACTTCGATCAGGGGTTTGAAGAATAGTGAATTTCCTTTATCTGCTTCGTATTGATGATAAAGCATGAGTTTTGGGAATATACGAAAGCAATTCTTCCCAATGGGGGGCTGATTAACAGTTTGGGGATGCAAATGGGTCACTATTTTGTAGCTAATGCAACATAGTGTTTTGGGCTTTTTCAACATCTCAGCACAGTGCTCCTTACTCTGCTTGGTTTTTTTGTTTACTAGTAATTATTGAGGTAACAGAGGCATGATGGAAGGTTCTTCCTGGTGGTTAAGACATTTCATTCTTATTGATATTGCTTCGTCTCTCAGTTGTGCATATACATGATCTCACCAAGTTGTTATACGACGAGATTTTCAAGGCTTTTGATGTTATGTTAGATGCTGAGGTCAAGAGAAGGCTAATAAGTTCTGTTATGGTTTAGGCTTTACAACCACATGGACAACGTAACCACCAATGGCAGCTTGCGGAGCAACCTACATGTATGTTTTGGTGCCTTTTGGGCTTGAATGTAACCTTCTGAAAGAGACATGTGTGGATGCCAATTAGACAGACGGTTTAAAATTGTTTAGAGTCCGAGTTTGACAGAGGAAAACGAGATGTCCCTGCACACCACAAGGTCCAGAACTAGAGACTCCATGGTACATCTTGAAGTTGCAGGATTTCTTGGTATTCTGGTATCATTTCTTGGTCCATAATATCATTTTTCGCTTTACATTAGTGGAGTTTCACCAAGAAACCCTTTCCCTTTATCTATCTGCCACACAAAAAGTTGTTTACGTGGGTAGTTAGTATATAATCTTATATATGTATTGGCAGTGCTTCTTTGGAATATAGGTTGTCTAAAAGAACTAACTGTTTCAATCTAGTCTTATATTGCTCTTTGTGTGGCTACTAGTACTACCGTGACATAACCAAACAATGAAAGAAGACATGCAAATTCAAATGTAACTTGCGGATTCTTAGTAGCAGAAGAGAGGTTTATGTTTGTGGAGGTTGTCTATTCCCTTCTCTTGAATCTTAACTTTAGTGATTTGATTTGTTGTTTATCTTAGCATATATTCTCTTGCACCTATAAGGCTAAATGTGGAAATCCCAAAGATTATAGGTTGACAAGGTAGGACCTAACTCTAGTGTCTACTTTGTATCGGTTGTGACATCCATCATTTAAAGAACATTCGCAGTTGTCATAATTATGCCACGCTTTCCTAAGCTTCTTAACTTCGGTCTGGTTCATGATTGAATTAAAATATCATTACACAACATGGCTCTTTTTTATATCTGCGTCTGAAAAATGCCAAGGTAATGTTTAAATTATGGTGTTTTTATTTGTTTATTGTCTGCTTCCTTAGAAGATAGCTTCAAGTAGGGGTGGGCGCAAGGCGAGTACTTGCGTTTTTGTGTATCCTTGATACTTGATTTACCTTGAACGAGTAATGAATTTTCGGACTTGTACTTGCCTTGTCGAAAACGGGTACTTGTTATTTCGAGTACTTGTCCAAAAATATGTTACTTGCAAGTTACTTGCCTCGTTCGATTATTTATTACTTGCAAATACCTATGAATTATTTGGATATTTTATTCAAATTTCTAATAACTATTTATTAGATAATATTGTATAAGAAAAGATTATGAAAGTTTCTTTTGTTTATTCAACTGAGAAAAAACACAAAAGTTATTTCAAATAAAATATTTGTACCTATTATAAAGAAGTAGAAACAAATACATAAATGTTTTGACACAAAATATTTTTTATTTCTTACAACAAATAAATATATTTTTAAGACTTTTGTTTCTATGGTCTAGTTATCGTTTTTTTCAGTTGCAAAACAAGTAACAAGTAGTATTAAGGCGGGTCGCTAATTTCTTTGCAATACTTGTTACTTGACTTGTACTTGCAAATGGCAAAACTAATCGACTTGATACTTGACTTGAAAACGACGAGTACTTAAAAAAACGAGGCGAGTACGGGTCAAGTAACGAATATAAGGCGAGTAACGAGTATTTGTGCCCACCTCTAGCTTCAAGTAAAAGACTAGAAGTAGAAGACAAAGTTGGTGCACATCTATCCATACACGTATTATTTAATTTAGGAATGTTTGTTACACGCATTATATTATTTCTTTCCCGGTACCCCATGTAGCCAGTAGCCGTTGAGTTGTCTATTTGGTTTGAAGTTGATATCATATAAGTTAAAATATTGTCTCAAATAGAATATATTGAAAACCACGTTAAAGCTTTATTTCTAAGATTATTTAATAATCATCGTGTTAATGGAGGACAGTTTGTAAAGCCAAAAAAATTCGATTCCTTCCTTTGGTTAAATAAACACTAATAGAAAGTTAAATAGGCTTTTGGATCACTGAAACATAAGCTCACATCCTTTTTTTTTGGTCACTTTTTTTCTCCAGCTTGCAAAGGTTATGAGATGCACTATGCACATCAGATCCAAACTCTCTGATTATTCATCTTCAATGGCTCGTGGGCAGTTGCTTCAGATCCTGATAATCACTTCTCTTAACCTGATATCTCTATCAAGTCAACAAGAGACAAGGTTTGTCTATGAAAACTTTACCTCCCAAGAAAATCTCCACCTAGATGCTTCTGCAAAAGTACTACTCCCCAGTGGATTACTCCAGCTGACAAACAATTCAGATTATCAAATGGGTCGAGCTTTCCACAAGAAACCAATTCAGTTCACTTCCTTCTCAACTCATTTCGTGTGTGCTCTGGTGCCTAAGCCAGGTGTTGAACCTGGCCATGGTCTTACCTTTTTAGTATCTGCTTCTCTTGATTTCTCTAACGCACAAGCAACAAGATACTTGGGGGCTTTCAACGCATCAGTAACTCACGCTATTGCTGTTGAGCTTGACACTATATGGAACCCTGAGTTTAATGATATCAAAGGAGGTAACGGTCACGTGGGTATTGATGTGACAAATCCTATATCTATAGCGGTTGCTCAACCATCTTACTATTCCAAAGGGAGAAACGTAAGCTTAAGCCTCTTGTCAAGAAACTCTACACAGGTCTGGGTGGATTATGATGGCTCTATGCTCAATGTCTCGTTGGCACCTCTTGATGTCAAGAAGCCAAGTCTACCTCTTCTGTCACAACGAATCAACTTTTCAGATGTTTTTCCGAATAGATCGAAACTGTTTGTTGGATTCTCTGCTGCAACAGGGAACGCTGTGAGTGATCAGTATATTCTTTGGTGGAGTTTCAGCACAAGTAAAGGAGGATCATCATTGCAGAGGCTTGACATCTCAAAGCTTCCTCAAGTTCCTCTTCCTAAACCTCTTCCTACAGTTCATCCTAAAGCTCCACATAAGAAGCTTCCTCAGTGGATTATAATCATGATAGTTTGTGTGGCTGTTGTGGTGTTGGCTGTTCTTGCAGGAGTTTATGTCCACCGGAGGAAGAAGTTTTCAGAAGTTTCTGAAACGTGGGAGAAGGAGTTTGACGCGCATAGGTTCTCTTACAAGTCTTTATACAAAGCAACAAAGGGGTTTAGTAAAGATGAGTTTCTAGGAAAAGGAGGTTTTGGTGAAGTCTATAGAGGAAACCTTCCTCAAGGGAGAAAGATAGCAGTGAAGAGAGTTTCTCACAATGGTGATGAAGGTGTGAAGCAATTCGTGGCTGAGGTCGTGTCAATGAGATGTTTAAAACACAGGAATCTTGTTCCACTTTTCGGATACTGCAGGAGAAAGCGAGAACTGCTTCTTGTCTCTGAGTACATGCCAAACGGTAGTCTTGACGAGCATTTGTTTGATGAAACGAAACCTGTTCTTTCTTGGCCGGAAAGACTTGTGGTTGTTAAGGGAATAGCCTCTGCTCTCTGGTACTTGCACACAGGTGCTGACCGAGTTGTTCTGCACCGAGATATCAAAGCTTCAAACATTATGTTGGACGAGGAGTTCAACGGTAGGTTAGGTGATTTCGGCATGGCTAGGTTTCATGAACATGGAGGCAGTGCCGCCACAACGGCTGCTGTTGGAACCGTTGGTTACATGGCACCTGAGTTAATCACAATGGGAGCTTCAACTGGAACTGATGTTTACGCCTTTGGTGTTTTCATGCTTGAAGTAACATGTGGGAGGAGACCAGTGGAGCCACAGTTGGAAGCTGAGAAACGGCATATGATCAAATGGGTTTGTGAGTGTTGGAAAAAAGATTCTCTGCTTGATGCTATAGACCCTAGACTGGGAGATGGATTCTCACCAGAGGAAGTAGAGATGGTTATGAAACTCGGTTTGCTATGTTCAAATATTGTACCAGAGTCCAGACCAACGATGGAACAAGTGGTTTTATACCTAAACCAAAACCTTCCTTTGCCGGATTTCTCACCGTATACTTTGGGGATTGGTACATTTGCTCCGGTTCTGGTTGATGCTGCTTCTCTTGTAGTCTCATCCGCTTCATGGAGTTGGTCAGCTCCCTCTATGTCTTCCTCTTCGGCTAATCACTCGCCTTATGCTTATCAGGCAACAGATCAGCCATGGGGACAGACACTAGAGACTAAGAACTCTCTTCATATAGCTGCAGAATCAGAGAAGCCTAAGACTCAGAGTTTCTCATCTGCTGTCAAAACTGTGACATTGCCTGAAGAAGATCTCGAGTCCAATCTTTCCAGGATCAGCAGTCAGAGGTAATCCATTTGATGTACATTCATATCAGCAAACAGATGTTAGTGTCAAGATTGTTTAATTAATCTTTCTCACCTGTCCCAATATTATCAGTTTGTTGCTTTGTAAATGTTTACCGTATACATGTTTGCTTTATGAATCCGAAAGAATATATATTTGTATGATTTGGAAACAGATTGGTTGTTTTAGGCATATATGTATGGTTTATTGGAAAGCTTCTAAATGCTTAGAATCTGCATGTATTTGAGAACGTGTTAAGCACATGTGCTGTGACTATCGGATAACAGTCATACCTAAGAGAGACACCAAATCAAGTAATAATATAGATCCCTACTGACATTCATACATGTGACAAGTTGTACGCCAGACGTTTTTTTACACTGTGTACTGTAGTTTATATTAAGAATGATAGTTGTAAATATAGATGGATGTTTAATCCTTAACTAAACATTTCGATCCCAACACACAAAAAAACAAACCTGTTTCTGGGTAAACCACATGCAGGATGCAGCACTGCATAGTTTCTTTCAACTTGGAGTCATTTATGTTATAATATTGTTAAGCACTTAAGCTCTACTTAATAATGTGTATATAACTATATTTTGTTACCCTTAGGGTATATTATTTCAATGAAAGATTTCCAGATCTCTACAATTTTTTTTTTGTTGCGGTCATTGACTTGCATTCCTTTTCAAGATACATCACTTAAATTGCCATTATTGACTTGGACTTAACTACAGTATTCACACATTAGTTAAAACGTGACTAAATATGTAAAAGAAAAATATATGTTCTTCTTTTGTCAACATCCATTTACAATACTATCCTGAAGCTATTACTTGTACATGGATTTCAATAGTCTTTTAGTTAGGATATAGACCATGTGAAAGAAGACATCTATATCATCCAACAATTCTAAACAAGTGTATAAAATGAAATACAAAACCAAGATCAGAGAGTACAAAATAGGAGGAATAAACAAACAAATAAACAAGAAAGGTGATAAGTCTGATTCAAAGTCTTCCTACCATTTTCTTTGATTTCTGAATTGATTTATAATAACAAATAAACACAATATGTGCCAGATGATAATATTAGTTCCTCAGATCATTATTCTATTAGCTACTTGCAGAGAATAATGAACTTTATTTCGTAATACCAAGCTGCTGTTTGGGCGGCAGACTTTGTATCTTTAATATCATAGATTGGCTTCACTCTCCAAGCCATGTGTATAATGCCGATTAATGTCATTTAGTTAGACATTGTTAGAACCAGACAAGATACCATATAATTGTTATTATGAACAATAACATAAAAATAATAAAGGTTGAAGGTAACTGTCATGGTTACATTTAATATCCATTTCAACTCAGAAGATAGCCATATGAAATGTTTTTCCTAAAGAGAATTTGAGCTTGTAATGTACTGGCCTTGAATTCATGTCTTGGAGAAGTTTTTATCTTAAACTGAAACTTACAAACCAAACCATGTCCCTTTAGTTCATCTAGATGGAGCTGCAAAAATTGCATCTGATCTTGTTGATCTTCTTTAATCATCTGATTTGCTTGTTAGGTCAACAACAAAGAGCTGGTTTCATCTACAATGGCTTTCTCCAAGCTCAGCCTGATCTTCATCTTGATGGAGCTGCAAAAATCCTCTCCCCAGATGGATTGTTGCAGCTGACCAACGCCTCAACACAGCAAATGGGTCATGCTTTCTTCAAGAAGCCATTTGATTCATCTGAGAAGAACTTCTCATTCTCAACTCATTTTGTGTGTGCACTTGTGCCTAAACCAGGAGCTGAAGGTGGCCACGGAATTGCCTTTGTTGTATCTTCCTCCATAGATTTCAAACACGCAGATCCAACACAGTACTTGGGGCTTTCCAACATCTCAACAAACGGATCTCCATCTTATCAGCTTCTAGCTATTGAGCTTGATACTGCTAAAAGCGTAGAGTTTGATGATATAGACAAGAATCATGTCGGAATAGACATCAACAGCCTCAGGTCTATAGAGTCTGCTTCAGCTTCATACTATTCAAACACCAAAGGGAAGAATCAAAGCATGAAGCTCTTAAGTGAAGAGCCTTTACAGGTATGGGTGGATTATGAAAGAACTTTACTCAATGTCACAGTAGCTCCTCTAAGAATCCAGAAGCCAAACCATCCTCTCTTGTCAAGATCCATCAATCTTACTCAAATCTTCCCGGATCAAAAACTGTTCTTCGGATTCTCTGCAGCAACAGGGTCATTGGTTAGTTACCAATATATCTTAGGATGGAGTTTCAGCAGAAGCAGAGAGTTGTTGCAGAAACTGGACTTGTCAAAACTTCCTCAGATTCCTCATCCAAGAGCCAAACAGAAGCAAACATCTCCACTGCTTGTTGTTTTGTTTGTGTTACTATCACTCATAGTATTGGCTGTTCTTGGAGGAGTTGAGTTATATAGGAGGAAGAAGTATGCAGAAGTCAGAGAAGCATGGGAGAAAGACTACGGTCCACACCGGTTTTCATATAAATCTCTATACAAAGCAACAAGAGGTTTTGAACATCGTTTAGGGAAAGGCGGTTTTGGAGAAGTCTATAGAGGGAACCTACCTCACATTGGAGATATAGCGGTGAAGAGAGTGTACCATGATGCAAAGCAAGGGATGAAACAGTTTGTAGCTGAAGTAGTGACTATGGGAAGTTTAAAGCACAGAAACTTGGTTCCTCTTCTTGGATACTGCAGAAGGAAAGGAGAGCTTCTTCTGGTCTCTGAGTATATGTCTAACGGAAGTCTTGATAGATACTTGTTCTACAGAGAAAAACCGCCTCTTTCATGGCCACAAAGGTTTGTGATTTTGAAGGATATTTCCTCTGCTCTCAGTTACCTGCACACAGGAGCTAACCAAGTTGTGCTACACAGAGATATAAAAGCTTCTAACGTCATGTTAGATTCTGGTTTCAATGGAAGGTTAGGAGATTTTGGAATGGCTAGATTTGAAGATTATGGAGATAGCTTACCCACTGCAACTGCTGCTATAGGAACAATGGGTTACATGGCACCTGAGCTAACAACAATGGGAACTTCTACAAGAACAGATGTTTATGCATTTGGTGCTTTCATGCTTGAAGTAACATGTGGAAGGAGACCATTAGATACCAAGGTTGCAGCTGAGAAAAGGCATTTGATCAAATGGGTTTGTGATTGCTGGAGAAGTGATTCTCTGCTGGATGCTGTAGATACAAGAATGGGACTTGAATACTCAGAAGAGGAGGTTGAGATGGTTCTGAAACTTGGGTTGCTCTGCACAAACATTGCTGCGGAATCAAGACCAAGCATGGAACAGGTGGTACAGTACATAAACAAGAACCTCCCATTGCCCAACTTCTCACCAGATTCTCCAGGGATTGGAGTTTATGTTCCGGTTTTGCTAGAATCGGCATTTGCTTCCAGAAACTCCTTAGCACCATCAGCCTCTCCTCCTTCGCCTCATAACTCCATGTTTGTCACTCACACAATCACATACGGAGATGGAAGGTGAAAATCTTTCTTACATTTTTTTTCCAGATAAATACAATGTAATCAGTGTGTGTATATCAGTTTTAGCTACTTTCTCAATTTGTTAATAAAGATTTGAATGTGAAACTGTGATTGAAACATCATATAAGGTTATATAATAGCAACTGAATTCATTAATAATAAAACTTGCAAAAAAGATCTCACAAGTTTCAGACCATATAGTCTTCAAGGACAGCAGAAATGGAAGAACAAAACAGAAGAAGAACAGAGTAGTCATAAACACAAAGAAACTTACATGTCGGATCTGTTTCATGTCATTGGCTATAGCATCTCGAGGTTTGGTAAGATAGCAGTAGCTTCACCATCAAGAACAACAAGTTCATTATGATTCTTAATGCATTTGGTTGAGAATTTGACACTAACGAATCGAGATGAGGATCTAGTTATGATAGAGAATAATAAAATAACATTTTTAACAATGGGGTTTTAATAAACTTTGCTTACATGTATTTATTCTTGGTTTCTCTAAAAGCTGTGGCTTGTACCAAACGGAGAATATCATCTCCTATGTAAACTGGTGATCGAAAATGCAGAGTTTGAGATACAGATACTGCCTCCAGGCTGCAACAATACCAAAAAAAAAAGATTCAAGCAAACTTTCTGTAAGTCTGTATAATCAGACATTATGTAAAAGATCAATAATTGCAAACTAAAGCTAGAGAACTTACGAAATGGGCAAAGTTGATACAAGCATTCCATGGACAAGACGATTCTGGAATCAGGCTTTACGGGCAGAGTCTTGATCAAAATGAAGTGGGTTCCAATCATGGCTCACCTCAGCATAGCCCTTAACATCTTCACTTGAAAACACTCTTGCTTCTCTTAAAACATCTCCTACCTTAAGCCACTTTGAAGTAGCTGATGAGAAACAAACACCTCGATACAAGGGGACATGTCTCGGAGTAAATGTCTTTTCGCCAGCATTGTTTCACCTGAACAACCAAACAAAAAAAGAAACGTCATGACTTCCTTTTCGTCAGTGGCAACCTGTTACTCATTGAGACATTTAGTCGAACAGGTTATAGGCACGCTACTACTGAAAGTCAAAAGGTACAAACTTAGACAAAAACTTCTCCAATTGCTAACACTATAGGAACAGTGAATAAGTAAAATTCTTAGAAAATAACAACCACAAGAAAAGCATCAGACTCGTCAAGTAAGAGAAAAGACACAGACTTTCTTCTTCAGGTTTACTTGAGCTCCCCGGACGCGGTAAAATTGAATAACACACTACTTACTTACTAATACAACATTTTGTATACTTTCACATATCTAACTTCGCACAGTAGGAAAGATGAAAACTTTTATGCTTTATCTTTCTAAGTATCAAAAGGAACATACATAAGCTGGTCTCTCAACAGCTAAACGGTCATACGACAGAGTTCTCAGTCTGAAGCACAATCAAACCAACGCTCAACCATGGTAGTCCACAATGTTCCCTCCTCCTTCCATTATATCCTCAAATCAAGCTCTCATCATACACCTGAATCAAACGTCAAATAAAGACTCTTCTTCTCACGCAAGCTAATGATTTAGAGTGTATAACCAAAAGGATGTAACTTCATAAATCAATCTCTGAATATATAGTTCATCAACTTCTCACCTAGCTCAATGGCTAAGTTACTCTATATTTATATAAAGATTTCGAATTGAATTGATTCGTTGATGACATGGCACTCGAACTTTTAAAAACCAAAACTCAAAAAAAAAAAATTCGAATTTGAAAAATTATAATTCAAAAACTTTTCAGAAAATATTATTTTATTTGAAAAATAATTATTTATATTTATAAATAAAAGGTATAAATATCGTTTGTTTTTAAATTAAACTTCATATTTAGTTATTTTTAAAAAATATCCACTTAAAGAAGATAAATATGAAAAAATGGTACTAAATAGAAGTTAATAATGAAATTTCCTCAGCTAATATTTCTAATGTTAGTGAATTAAAAGGAAAACTAGATACAGACCCGTGCAACCGCGCGGTTGTTAATTTTCATATTTTTTTACATAGACATTGTGTTTTTACTTTAAGGGTGATATATATTATAATCACATATATTCAAATGTATATGAATTTAATGTACTGTTAGGTCCGATGAAAGGGTAGTTTTAAACATAGTATAGATACAATGATGGTCATATGTAATTCAATAATGAACGAAATGTTGGGTAACTGAACCGTAATTTTAGGCTTAGGTGTCATTAAAGTTACGAATTCATGGAGTTATATTGTAAGTGATAATCTAATGTATTAAAGCATGAGTTCTAGGAAAGGTCCAATTTTTTAAAAAATCACACATAAAGTGAAATGGTGACTTCTCTTTTAATATAATAGATTACTATAAAAAAAAAGGATAGGAGGTTATCAAAAAAAGAAAAGAAAAAGGTTAGGAGCAGATGGCAAAAACCATGGTTGACTACATTTATAAAGTAAATATAATAATCAATTTTGCTTGAACTCGCGGGCGCGGAATATATTAGGATAAGAGACTGAGATATTGAAATCAAATCACTTGCACATGGTTCGACCATTTCTAGCAGGAAAGCGACATTTGCGTGTGAAAGAAGTAACCAATGAAAAACCTGAGGAAGTAGCATAGAGATTAGGCCCGGGCATTTTACCCGGATCCGAAGACCCGAACCGGAACCGACCCGAAATTTATAAGTACCTATTGGGTCTAAATTTATTTTATCCGAATAGATCCAGACCCGAAAAGAACCAATCTGAATAGACCCGGACTCGAAAAGAACCGACCCTAATAGACCTGACCCGATAAGAATCGATTTTTACCCGACTTATAAACATGTATATCCAAAACTATTATTTTTGTGTTATGTTTTATATATCTATACTATTTTATAATTTAGTTGAAATATCTTTGGTTAACAATATCTATTATTATTTGTAACATTTTGAAGTAATATAAATTTTAAAATGTAAAATTTAGAGTTTAAAAATGTTTTCTTTAATTATTAATAGTTTAATTTAAGTTATTTTATAAAATTTTAGATATATATGAATAATATTGACTGAATTTGAGTGACTTTGGGCATGTTATATATTTTTAAAATTCTAAATACCCGGGCCCGATCCGGACCGGATATGGATCCGAAAATTACGGATATTTTACAGGTATTGAAATTATAGACCCCAACCGACCCGGATCCGGCAAGATCCGATCCGGAACCGACCCGAAAAATTATAAGTAACTCATATGGGTCTAAATTTTTAAAATCCGAACCTGACAGGATCTGACCTGAATCTGAGCCGAGGACCCGGATGCCCAGACCTAATAGAGATCGTTAGGGACAGCCAGACAGATTCCCAACTTCTTTTCAAAGAAATTAGTTGAAATTTTTTTATATTGTTATTATTATTATTACGCATGTTATGATTTAAAAAAATAGATAACCCAAATGGCCACGTTGAATTTTGTAATAATCACGTTTTATTTGATATCATTTTCTTGGGACTATATAATGTCATCTTTGATAACATCACTTCTCCTAATCACTCAAGCTAAAAGAGCAAGAACGAGAGAAGGTATGTCTGTTAGAGCATTCATAACATCGCTGGTTCTAGTGATTCTCATTACCGCATCGTCGGCGGAATCCGATGAGTCCCCTAGGACCCGGATGGTCTCCGACAGTCTCCGAGGGGTAGAGGCATCCTTTGTCCAGATCTTAGGCCAATCTCGTCGCGTTCTCTCCTTTGNCAAGCTAAAAGAGCAAGAACGAGAGAAGGTATGTCTGTTAGAGCATTCATAACATCGCTGGTTCTAGTGATTCTCATTACCGCATCGTCGGCGGAATCCGATGAGTCCCCTAGGACCCGGATGGTCTCCGACAGTCTCCGAGGGGTAGAGGCATCCTTTGTCCAGATCTTAGGCCAATCTCGTCGCGTTCTCTCCTTTGCTCGCTTCACTCACAAGTAAGTCCCATCCTCTGTATATACCGCCAGTTGCATGCATGCACCATTGAGTTTTAGTCCGTCTCTTTGATAAACAAACTGATTGTTCTTTTTGGTGATATTGAAAAGGTATGGGAAAAAGTATCAAAATGAAGAGGAGATAAAGCACCGTTTCTCGGTGTTCAAGGACAATCTTGATTTTATCAGATCCACCAACAAGAAAGGCTTATCTTACAAACTCGGCGTCACTCGTAATAATTTTAATTTCGTTTTTTGATATTTAGGTAATTTATATTTTTTTATATAAATGATATTAACTATTTTAACTTTCAACGTGATAACTCAGATGCAACAAAAGTAAATAAGTTTTTAAAATCACTCAATATTCTCTTTTAAATAAACAATTTTTTTTTAAAAAAAATACTTGATTAATTTATTTATGTATTCTGTTTATGTTTGTAAATTTTTTATTAACATATACTGTTAAGATAATGACACAATATTATATATATATATATATATTAATCGTAAAAGATATTTTATATTTTGGATAATATTAATTGTAATCACTTAACTAATCATATAATTTTAAATTCGTTTTTATTATTTAGATAATTTATATATTTTATCTAGTTATCCACAGATATGTTATATGTGTCTGATCATTATCAAAATATACCTTTTAAAACGTGTATTTGGTATAAAACTGTAAATAATATTTTAGTCCGAAATAATTATAACT